GGGCTGGCAGTTTGCTCAGTTGATTAGAGCGGGGTGTTATACCACCAAGGTCAAGGGTTCCGATCCCTCTACCCAGCTGCCAAAAAAACAGGCCCCTTCGCAACTCCCAATGTTCCTGTAATTTTATATTAAATGGGCGGTATCTATTGGAATTACAAACCCCTTTGTGTTCATTGTTGCTGGTGAAAACAAATGGCCCAATCCTGGATTTGTTTTTAATCACTAGCTTCCCCAAAAGCTATTCAGTATGCACATAAAATCCTTTCAATAAATGTTCATCGACCGAATGACCCTTTTCCCATATTTTTCTGAATCATAAAAGCAACATGACATAATCTGGAGAAACTTTAGGGAATTTAAGGGGAGTCATCAGCTGTGAGATTTCACTTTCTAGGATTAATAGAAGTTGCTGCCACCATCTCTATTGCAAGGGTGTCAAAAGCAACTAACAGACTGATCTCTGCTGGTGAGTGGGGCTTCTTGGGGTGACAGGCAGAGGATGCCCCTATGGGCTGTCCCTTCACCTCAGAAACACTCACAGTCCCTTGCCAGGAAGTCCATTTCCATTTTATCTGTTCTGAGACAACGCCTCAGATTCAGAATTGAATATTGAGGAAGATAAACGCTCAGCACCCTAACGAGCATCACGTCCCTTAATGTGACTGCCCAGCAGAGGAAAATGGCATCCGATGCTCAGGTCAGAACGGCCATAATTCCCACTCAGCCCAGCTGCCTCCCTTCCTGCTGAAATGTTTTCTGTCCTCGAAATGTGGGAGACAAATTCCTGAGCAGAAAACCCACACATTCCATAACCCTTTACTTCTGCAACGCAGCTTCCCAGGGTGTTGGAGCCCCACTGCGTCCCCGTGCCTACGAACTTTTAAAGTGGGAAGCAGTTTTGTGGGAGGCAGGGCTCTCAAGGGATGGGGGGGGCTTAGGGACACAAGCGCCTGATGACATTTGTTGGTGTCAAGACCGACCCGGCGAGGCGCTGAGGTCGGGGCGGGGTCGGG